TCCCACCACCGGCGAGATCTTCGACGAGAGTGAGATGAAAAAGGTTTACATCATGTAGTTGTGGAGGTATCCAGAATGTCGAGGCTGCTGCATGTTTCATATTCTCTCCTGATTTGTGTATTATTATCAGAAGGCACTGGAGAGGCGAAGTACGAGAACAAAATTCTTAACAGCCTAGTCGCTATCGTCACTATTGGACGAGTCCCTTGACCTTTTCTTATTCCTTCCCTTCCTGTCCAACCTAGCAGCCTGTGGATTCTTCGGCGGGGCAACTTGATCTTCTTGCCTGACCTCAAAGACGTACATTCTCGCCTCGCGGTCTTCTCCCCTCCACCCCCCTCTTCCCCCATGCTTTCCTTCGATCTCGCCGAGGGTTCGAGCGTGGGAGTATCCCTGGTAAGAGCTCCACGGAAATCTAAAACTCGTGACCACCCGCAAACCAGCGTGCCGTGCAAGATCCTTGATATTCCATAAGGTGTAAGGCTCGCCTTCAAACATGGTCACTAAAATTTGTCCTGGGTCGGTCCTGTATCTAACTCGCCGTCCATGGGCGAGGATATCCTGATCATCCTGCTCGCCGGAGTCTGATTCACTGTCTTCACTTGAGCTCCAGTTGTCATCCCTCTCGTCTTCATCATCGCCGTTCACGACTTGCGGATGGGCCGACAACAGTGGCACGCAGGCCTTGAAAAAGGCGACAAGTAATTCCTGGTTTGAGCGAACCTGTCGATTCACGTCCGTTGATAGGCCACCGACGTGTGGGAAGTTGAAACATATGATATCCCAAGGACCGCCTGTAGTGGTTGCTGGCTCGACCTTCTGCCTGTTTTCCTGCCAAGCAGGACGTTTGCGCTCGCGGCGTGCAAAGCCTGTGCGGACATCCTTCCCACCTCCGGCGGAAGATCCGAGTTTTCGCGCATCAACTGCGAAGAGTACGTTTGGACCGCGACGCTTGCAGTCTTGTTTCTTTTCAGACTGCTCTTCGCATTTCTTTTTTTCCTGCGTGCTTTCCTTCTCTGTCTCAGATCCATCAGGATCATTCTGTTTTTCCTTATTTGAGAACGAGCTAAGAAGATCCTGGACATGCTGTTTAGCTTGTGGATATTTGCTGTATAGCACCTCTTCTGAGTCGTAGCATGTGGCCAGGATATTCCTGCAACGGTGCTGCACTGCTAGAGAGCGAGCAAATGAGAAATCTCCTAGTAAACATTTCATTAGACTATTTGAAATCCAGGAACTCCGGTACCTGAAGCGCAAGGCACATAGGCTCAGCCGAGCCAGCATGTGTACACGAAAGTAAAAGCGCAGAATAACCTCAGGTCGGGTCGGGTCAATGTCAATACAGGTCGCTAGTATACCATAACTTCAACAAAGCCAACACGACGAGTACCCTCGCATATTAACACATGCGGAAACATCGACGCTCGCTTGACTCTTGTCGGGACAAGCATATGAGACAAACGTAAATAGGGAAAACAGCACAAACTGAAGGGCTCTGGACGCTCCACGTATTCGGAAAAGAAAATAATCAAAAAAAAGAAAAAAAGAAAAAAGGAAAAGGTGAATCTTGAAAAGCAGTAGCGAAGTATGAAGAAGAGGAAGCGCTCACCCTCACCCACAAGTAGGATACGATCTCTCCGTCCGAATGGGACAATAGGCCGTCGATGTTGGGCCGGATTCTTTTTCTTCTTGTCCGCTGTACCATAGTTGCTAATGCAACTCTTCTGGGTCTTGGATGTCGAAGATGGCCCCGCGGATGTAGATAATCTCGAAAACATTTGCATTTTCCGGGGTCCTCTGATGCCAGGCCCATCACCGCGCTGGGGCCCGTTGGCTCGGGCTTTCTTCGATCTGGGCATGTCTAAGAAATATAAACTCGAGTCCTTCAGGTCCTGTCGTCTTCAGGATGGATCTAAACAAAGATAGAACTGAGAACTGGAACGGTCCTCTGAACTAACTGGATAACTGGCCCCTCTAGTGACTGCTTCCCCATTGAGGTAGGAATCATGTCCGCAACCAAAAGAAAAAAAAGAAAATATTAGTTCCAAACCTGCGTGCGGGCCAATTCATTCCCCGAGGTCGATGGATTTCTTGAATATGATTCATCAGGTACGAAACAGAGAATAACTGACCTTCTCATTTCGTAGGTTACAGTTTTGTTATATCCTGAATTGACGTCTATTCATATTTTTAACTCCGTAGCAATTTCGACAAAAGAACGGACCATGCCATCCAAACCCGCTCTATAACCATATTAAAAAGAAGTACAAGGTTGTTATATACATCACACTGCCAAATAAAAGAAAAATCCACTGTCTTCAACATCTGGTCTGTCTGCAGTCTCAAAATTCGCGAAAAATGGCATGCATATGAGCAAGTTGTATCAATTAAGACGCGGAGGGTGAAATGAAAGCCGTGACCAGAATTTCGTGATTTGGAACAAAAATCTCAACAGAAAGAGAGAGGCCTTCCCATCAAACCGAACACGATGAGGGCAAGGCGATGTACCTAGGAAGCACATCGACCCACAAAGGCCAAAAGCAATAACGAATTGACCGAAATGCGGACAACTGCGTCTGAAGGGGAGTATAGGTACATATCACATTCATGTTAGTGGTGACACCGCACTCGTTTCGGGGAGCTGATTCGACCTGATAACAAGGGCGTGCGTCGTCCATGATAAGGCGCATTTCGGTGCTCGCTAAACCTTCACTTCATGGTGGTGTGATTCAGGAGCGCAGAGAGTCTCTCATGCTCTGGCTGCTAGCACTAACGGGGGGGTTCGACATTGGCAGCACACCGGTCTTTGGCTTGGCACTTTGTTTAATCTTGGCAACGGCGTAAACAATTCCGCTGATGAAACCGACAACAATGGCAGAAACGCTGGGGAAAGTGACGGGGGCATCGAAGAAGATCAAGCCGGAGAGTGCGATGGGCAGCTTGTTCAGAGCGCCGACCATGGAATAGGTTGTCGACGAGGTCACGCGGACACACCAAGCGGAGGTATAGGAGATGAACACGGACGAGAGACCTGAGATAATCATGGCAAACAAGATGCCGCTGCGATCGGCGGGGGGGAAATTGCGCGCGATGTTTGCTGACGACCAGTCCTCCATTAAGAAGGTGAGAACCAGAAGCACAGGGATTGACAGAAGATTGTTGTAGAACATGGCTAAATGAGGCAGAAGGTTAGGCGCGAGCTTCAAGGTTTTGTGGCATAGACATAGAAACAAGAAGGGACATACTGTCAAAATCCTTGAAGTTAGTCAGCTTGATTCGCTTGCGCATTCCCAGGACGAAGGACGAAGTGCAGAGACAGTTGATCAACATCCAGATATAACCAGCATTGAGAGTCGACACCTTAGCAGTAGCGTCTCCACTACTTTCAACTGCATGCTTGATATCGGCCCACGCGGCGATGATGGAACTGAGGACCATGAGTCCAAAGGAGAAGAGGGTCATGCCTGTCACCGAACCGCCAAACCAAAGCACCTCTCCGTAGGCGATCAAGATGATGGTCAGATTCTTGAAGATAGTGTACACAGGGATCGACAGAAATTGCAGTGCCTTGGAGCCCGTGTAGATCATGCCAATCAGAAGCAGAGTGATGGGAAACCCTGGCGAGAAAGAAGACTTGTCAGATTGCTTTGCTTGACGATACCCAACGACGAAACGGGATGCTTACACTTCTTGGCCTCATCCGAATTGAAGTCGCGATATGTAATCAGATTGCTAGCCTTGCATGTTTGAATCGCCACAATACAGACAACAGACTGGAGTGAAACGATGTGGTGAGCTCAGGCTTGGTGACAACTACGCCCCGGAAAATCTGCCCAACTTACCTGCACGCAAAGGAGGAAGAAATTGAGATTGAAATCCGTGCCGGAAAGGACATATTTGTTCATGACAGTCATCAAAATAGACGAACCGCAATAAGCCAGCACGGGCAGAATGGGGTTATTGGCAAGCTGCGCGGCTGGAGGACCTCTGGGTTGAACAGCAGGGGGCGGCGCCTCGAAATTCTTATTGCCGTGATCTAACTTATCCATCTCGACGGTATACTCATTCGTTTTCTTGTCGTCCGCCATGGTGTGAGACTGATAATCGGATTAGAAGACCGAGGGAACAAGAAGGAAATATCCAGACAAAATCGAGGAACGAAGGGGAGAATCTTCAGTGGCACAAACAATTGCCGGTGAGTCGGATCCGTGAGGGAAAAAAAGGTAAGATGAAGACAAAATGAATGTGAGAAGCAATGAATGATAAGACAATATATTATATAGGGAAGAGCCTTGCTTCCTTGTCCACTTCCTTATGTTCCTCCTATTTGAATGAGGTATGTAAGGAAAGGGGGGTTGGTGGGAAATAAAGCCAGAAGTTCTGATAAGATGAGAATGGTGCATGGAAGAATTATAATCAATCAAATGTTATTATTTTTCATTACAGAGGTATCACTCTTGCTCTTTTTTATTATGAATAATAATGAAGAATACCCTGCCTGACGTTTCAGGCCGCCGCCCCGGAAGCGGCATCCTGGAAAAGGTACCTTGGATACGGAGTACAGGTAATGTATCTGATAATTACATACAACGCGAATATTAAGTGTGTCCAATACCTACCTTAGGTAGGTACCTTAACCATCATTGATACACAAAGACCTAAGCCTTGGATAGCAATACTAGAGCACTGCTTGAGATTGCTGACAAGGTGCCTATTCCACCACTGATGGACGAGGTTAATTTCGATGATAGGGTTAAAGGTGAAATTTTATGTTGAGATTTTCTCTTATCTGAGCAATAGAGCTTGACCTCCGTATTGATATCACGTTATGGTTTTATCTCCGCTGTTCCCTTAACTTTACAATGACAATTGTCTGCTTTTATCAACCAACCCGTTTGGGTTCTCAAGATTTTTCGAACTATGAATCCGTCTGTCTCCTGAGCGTCATCTTCTGAAACGCTATTCGACTAATAGGTCTGGAGAACAGACCTGCCAGCGCCATGAATCAGGATTCAGAGCAGAAGGACCACCCCGCTCGAGATCTAGACGATGATAATGACGACGATTCCCTGTTCGAAGCCCTCGAGAACGAAGATGATTCTGCCTACCGTGCGCATCGCATCGAACAACTCAATGCCGAGTTTTCTGCGGCCAAAAACAACCGATCCTCTTTTCGCGGTCCAGCAACCACTCTCGTTGAAGGCCTCTACCCGACTCTGAAAGACGACCAAGCCGTGCTAGATTTCTCAACACAGACCCATCGTTGTGTCATCCATTTTGCCCATCCGGATTTCGCCCGCTGCGGGGTCATGGATGAGCATATCCGGGCGTTGGCAACACGGCACCATGAGGTGCGCTTCGCGCGCGTCGACGTGCGCAATACCCCGTTTGTGGTGGACAAACTGAGCATACGAGTCCTTCCTTGTGTAGTTGGGTTCAAGGACGGAATTGGTGTTGAGCGTGTGGTGGGATTCGAAGGCCTTGGAGCCGGGGGCCGGGACGGGGCTGACAGCTTTAATATCGCGACTCTAGAAAAGCGACTACTATGGAAAGGGATTCTAGGCCAGACGAAGTTCAAAAATAGCGAGGATGATTCTGATATATCTGAGGGTGGCAGTGGTGACGAAGGGTCCAGCAGGAGACGGCCAGGTACTGGGCGACGGACTATTCGGAGCGGAAGTGGGCGACACCATGGAGGGGATAATGACGATGACGACGACTGGGACTGAGATGACAGTATTCACCGTTAAGCTCTTTTCCGCAACGGCATGACCAAGTTGTCCTGTCTCACCCGTGGAGAACAGCCATAGCTCTGGCTTGCAAATCATAATCTGGTGTGCCAATGATCATAGACATCTCAAGTGCCCAACGCATCGTGCAATTAGACTAATACTGCCACTCATAGCATGTTTGGGTGCCTTGTATAGTGGGACTTAAGGGGTAAATGAAAGAATGTGTCTTCCCCGTCCTCACGCAATGAGCAGTCAGAATTTGCCATGTCAAACACATAATTGAAGACAGCAAGGCCGGAAACGCCATTGAGAAGCATGAGAAACTTCTTTCTTTTACGAGCACACTGAAGAGAATTGTCACTTAAGGAAAGGAGTAGGAGGACACTTCAATCATGAGAGACAAACGGAAGGTCAATTGGCTAATATTGAACCTAAACTGCATGATCATTGAGTGGTAAAGTTACAGGCGATGTGGCTCAAGGCAAATGAGAAACAAGACCATCTTCGGGAAGAAGAAATCGAATGCTCCATGGAAGCATGGAAATGTCGTATGAATAACAGAAATAACAAGGGAAATTTATACAAGCGTTTCAAACCAGTCACACCACGTCTACCTGCTCGCTTGAGGAAGCTGTTGTTCTTCAACAAGTAAAGTCAACGAGAGAAAGGAAATAGAATTCAGCCGCGTAGCGTTGGCACAATGGTGCTCGTAAGAGAGAGAAGGAAAAAGCTGAGGAAAGCAGGCTTAGATGGCTATGTTCTTCATTTCCCCCAAGACCTCAGCTTCCGAGACCGCGGTTGTCCCTTGGTTAGACTCACGTCTCTGCACCTTTTCTGCTTTGGGTGACTTCTGCTCGTCATTCTTGTCTGTGAGGTCCTGGTTTTCCTTCCCAGAAATTTGGGGTGTAACCACCTCCATCAGATCATCGGTTTCAGGCTCCTTTTTGTTTCCCTTGGGAGCATCCTCGGGCGTCTCAACTTCAGCACTTGTAACCACGGGACTCGTCGCTTCTTCTGTGACTCGAGCTAGAGGACTCGAAACGCCGAACTGCGTCTTAGGGCTCTGAGTAGAACCGCGGTTGGGAAACCGGTGAGGAGACCGGCCTCGTTCTTCACTAGGTGTTGGGCTTCCATACGGGGATTCTTTCCCGGGTCGGCTGTTCGTGTTGAGTCCCAGTCCATTTGGTGCCTTGCGTCGAGGGGCTCTTCTGCCATATTTCTGATCTGTCCTCCAGCGCAGAATCTCCAAATACGGCGGCTCAACATTTTGACCCTTAAATTCCAACAATTTAAGCTCATTCGTCTCCTCATCTACGTTGACTTTACCACTGCAAATATCATCCGCGACCACAGCAAGGAAAGCAGCCCAAGAGCGAGCGACAACGTATTTGCAGTCGTAGTCCCGACCGAAAATGATGACCTGACCCCATTTCCCAGCGGGGCCAGGGGCCAAGTCGATCGCAATATTGTTTCCACCCCAATCACGAGCAAGAGGGATCCAGGCAGGGTGTGCGTATGCCTTCTGTACAGCGCCTGGAGGCTGTGAGTCCTGGCGGTCCAGAAGGTCCTGTCTCCAGAGAGGATTCGGGCCTTGCGGAGGAGGTGCTGCAGAGGAAGAACTTGCTGTGGCTTTCGGCGGAGGATTCATCATGCTGGAGTTGCTCAGAAACTCTTCATTGACGGTTCTCCAGTTCTTCCATTCTTGAACGATTTCCTCGCAGTCTAGAAGCATACATCCGAAGATAACGCCTGTGGGGAGGCCAGGGCGCTCCTGACCGTCGTGGATCATGAGGGACTCCCGCACCTCCAACGGCAGACTGCAATCCAATTCATGCTCCAACTCATTTATATCGTTTTGAGTGCACCCCTCGCAAAGATTATCGTGTAGCTCTTCGTAATTATTTTCCAGCCATCGCTCAATTTTCCGCCATGAATGGGCCACCGGGGGCGGAGGCGGAGCTCCGTCATGGAAGCTTTGCATCTGAATCTCCGGGGCACCATCTGCGCCACGTTCAGTTGATCGCCGCTTCTGGGAAGAAAGCGACCTCAATCCGGGGGAATAGGGACGATTAGGAGAACCAACTCCGGTAGGGGAACCAGTCCACCCGTTAGAATTGGAACTTGTAGACCCTTTCGGTTGGTCATCCTCAAATGTATCAGTCAGATCCGGTCGAGACTCAATGGCGCTCGTCGCAATAGATGTGAGGGGCTCATGGCGGCTTTGGCTCAAAGGTACATGTCTTCCGGTCCGATACGGGGAGTCGTGGGACGCATGCCGATCATAGGAGGTCATCGTATGCCAAAAGGAGCGCCATGCTGAACCGAAGCTGCTCGAATAAGATCAGAAAATTCGCTCAGTCTCTTTGACTTCGGGTGTATTATGTAGAATGAGGAAGGGATATCTTCTTTGCTCGATTCCTGAGGGAATTTCAGACAAGTGCGAAGTAGAACTTACGCGTTTGACATCTTGGGAACCTCCACAGCACTAAGACCAAGCCGAGGGCGAACAAAATCTAGAAAGGTTGGGATACTCAAGTGTACCGAATGTGGGTCATTTGATTACTGACGCTGGAGGTCGGATAGGAGAGAGATGATTTGGGACGGAGAAGACAGAGAAGAAAGGGCGAAACGATCAAGGACTTTTTCCCCCTCGAGCAAGGGGAAGCAGAGGGGATGCGGTAAAAGGCGCTTGATCCTTTAACTTTCCTGATGAAATAGGGACGGATAGGATGGGAAGTATGGAGTGGTATGGGCTGTGTGTGATAAGGAGAAGGGAATATCAACAAGATAGAGGAACCAGAAGGAAGTATATGGATTCCAGACGAAAAGAGGTGATGCCGATGATTAGTAGTTGATCGACCTTTATGGACTTGGACAATTGAAGGCAAGCCAGAACGCAGAAAGCGGTAGGAATCCTTCGCCCAGAAGCAAACGAGCCCATGCGCCAACAGTTATTTTCAAAGTCCAATAACAGAGGTAGCGATTTTAACCATCTGAACAGGAGATATGTAAATATTATTATCGCTAGGAGATAGGCAATATTTAGTCTCCCAATGTCTCTGTAATTACGGTTGTTCGGAGAAACACCGCGGTAAGTACGTATCCTCCGCCGTTTTCAACACTTCTTCGTCTCTTGGATCATTTGGATGTCTACTTTTCTGCTCTTTAATCCCTCTTTGGGACCCAGGTTTAGCGCGTTCATATGTGTGTATTCGGACTGCGGATATTTGGACGAGCCGATCACCCATGATTCGATCATTCATTCGCCTTGAGCCCCTGGGACCTGTGGAAACTCTCATTTCCTTTTAGGTCGAGTTGACTGACCATATACATAACTAATAGTTAACTACTAGTATAGGGAGTTGAATGATAGGTTCATAGGGAATTAAAGGTTGGTTAGATACGCACTATGCACAGAACTGACAGAAATAATCTTGATGATCCATATGCCACTGGCAACAAACAGCCGAAAACGTCGACCGACACCATTCTGGAAGGACCGGCATTCTCCTACTCCCAAAGCCTTCCGCTAATAGAACAGTTGTAACGGTCAACACTCACAATTGCTGCGATAAATATCGGGCTCTTCTGGTTATCTACAGAGTACGCCGGCTGGAAATGGTGTAGGAAATAGGACGTGAACTGTCTTAAGAGTTAAGACCCGCATCTCTTGATCCATTGTAGTCTACCCTAAGTTACAGACAACAGTTTCTTAAGCTGGTGGCGTTTTAGCGAAATAATCATCGACAGGCAATTTTAAATGTGAAAGAGATTTTGCTATCTATGCAGCAGATAGATGCTCATCACTTCATATTTACCTCTCTATGATCCCTGGTTCACCAGGTGGACACTTGATTGTCCCTTTGATGAATCTTCAAACATTCCCTACTGGGATCTTGATTATTCACCATACCTTGGAAACCCACCTGTGGCATCTATTATTAGGTAACCACCAGGGCGGGGAAAACGGATGGCACTTTACCTTCGGTATGGAGGCTACTTACGGTATGGACCTTCCACGGGGGCTTCCATACAGGTTCTGGACTCGGCCAACCTCACACTGTAAGTACCTAGGTACCTTTATTCTTATGTGATACCTATCTTTACTCCGTATTACTGTTACAGTCGGATTACACCACGCGTCTAGACAAGTTAGCTACACAAGAACAGAACACCTTTAGGAGTACGTAGCGGGCATTGTAGACAATATAACCCTCATTGACTTGATCCTGGATCCCCTCTTTTTAAACTACTCCTGTACCTACTATGTAACGCTGTATTAGCGGTAAGTCTGCTCTATAATACAAATAATGGCCACCAGAATCACAAGCCACGGGGCCAGAGCAGGTGCTAAGAAGGATGTGCATGACTGAGCATGTATCTGCAAGACAAAGATTGGATTTCTTTGCGAAAACTGCGTATAGAGTGACCGCCATGGCAGAAGTCTCGAACATCAAGCTTAAACAGCCCAAGGGTGAGAACACACAAACAGAATATGAGGTAGAAATCATGATAGCCGAGTCAAATAACCGACTTGTGACCCCACAATCTGCCATTCTAGATTCAACTTCGAAGCAAATGCCGAAAGCTTCTCACAGCCAGTCTAACTGGAAAATGACAGAGGTAAAGCGAAGAAGTCGTAGATCGGAAGGGCAAGGGAACAAAGATGAGAGTGAGACCGCATGGCGCCAACTGCACACGTTAGAGAGTCCAAAGGGCAAACGAATTCATGAAATCAAGGCAGAGATAGACCGTCCCAAACAAGGTACCTCAAAAACTCTCAACGGCAACCGGACTCCGGGTTCGATGCAATAGAGGGTATATAGGCGCCCCACGAAAGTACCCATAACCCCCGCCATTCAAGAGAGCAATAGCTGATACCAAAAGAAAAGATTGCAGAGATAACTCCATTAGATCCCATAACGAGAAAGGACATCAGCGGAACTTAGGCATTGAAAAGAGAACAAAAAACATAAGAAAGAAGACTGAGAGCAGGAGGGAACAAAAACGAGCAATAGTGAGAATTCAAATAGAGCGCAGGACGCAAGGCACGCTACAGTCCCCGCTGGAATCAATATCGTTCATCATGTGTTCAATTGATCAATCATGAAAACAAAAAAAAGTCTTCTCCTGGGTCCATCGTGCAGTAATATCGTCTTAAACTCGTGCACCAAATCCAACATCTAACGGAGAAGTCCGAGCCAAACTTCGACATCAAGCGAACGAGCTCTGAATACCGTTCGAAGGAAAGCTAGGATTAGCATCGAGTTTCAGAATTCTCCTCAAATCATCTTCCATCTTCTTTGTATCAAGAGGAGCGGAAGTGTCCGCTGGTATTGCCCCAGACTTGAAGGACTGGTGATGTGGTGGAACGTAACAGGCTGGCTGCTGCGCATGGGGTTGAGAGAATTTGGACGACCCATAGGTCTCAAACGGCGAAGAGCTTGCGCCGCCTGAGGCGCTTATCGGGTTCATTGGATTCGGTTGAATAATGCCTGTCTTCATTCTCGAACTCTGAGGTTGTTGGACACTGCTGGAATAATAGAAAGGGGATTGTAGCCCACTCTCGAAAGATGACCGGTTCTGTTCAGGTGGTATGTCCCTAAAAAGGGTCGCTGGCGGACCTGAACTAGTCCTCATGGGAGTCGCGTAATGAGGTACGTTAGGGCTGAGATTTGGTCGCGTAGTGTGACCAATGGCTTGATTATGGTTTAGAATAGACGCGGTTGAGGGCCTCTGGGGTCGTGGATTCAGCAACAGATCCTTGAGAGCTTCAGTCTTCGCTTTTCGTTCCTCCTCGTGGAGCTCCGGTGTTGGAGAAGAGGGCGAGCTAGAAGATCGCAACGCGTTCATGCGATCTTTGTAGGACGTGGCGAAAGAAGGCCCAATTTGAGAGTTCTGTAGGCCTGGATTTTCCATCTCTAAAGGAAAAATACCGGCGGAGGCTCTGTCTTTACCGTTGGGTATCTGGTGATGTTGAACTTTAGAATCTGTTTGCGGAGACAGAGTACCAATATTGGCTTCGGGACTCCGCTGAAGCTGAGAGTTTCTCGCTTCAACAGCAGCTTTGAATAAAAAGTCAAGAGGTGTGGACTGCGACTTTTCCGACTGAGGTTGAAAACGTGGCCGCGGCTTTGACGGCGTAGTGTCCAGGTCGAGACCAGCTTCGAGGTGGTCCCCATCGATTTCTTGTACGGAATCCGATTCTGGTACAGACTTCGAGAAAAAGCTCGGTATTGGGAGCGCTGAAGGAGCAGGCGACGCATGGAATGTCGGGCCGGCATAATGAGGGCTGTCTTTGACTTGGGGAGTACTGCTGGCCGGATGCGAGGATGTGTGTCGGTGTCCGTTGTTGTGAGCTGGTGAGGGTTTAGGGGCGTCGCGTGGCTTTCTGTTTGAGCGGGGATTCTTTCTCTTAGAAGGATTAACAATATTAATAGATGTATCGGTAACTGTTTCTCCAGGACTCGAGTTTCTCGGTGGCGATGACGGAGGGGTAGTGAGCAAAGCCACCCTCTGGTTAGAAGGGGTTGCTGTTTTCTTCGGATTGCGCCGGTTGCTCCGAGATCCCTTGGGCGTCGGAGGAGTAGGCGATGTACTCGGCATTGTGAATAGATGGCTTAATAAATAGGCAGCCTTCGGAGATTCGTGGAAGAACTTGAAGGGGAAGTGATCAATAAACAGCGAGGTCACGGATAAGAATAACAGCAATGACGGACAAAGCCGAGTCACCGTGAACTGCCCAGCAGCCGATAACAGATACTTCAACGCTAGAAAAACACAGCAAGAGATGACGAAATTGATTTCAGAACGTCCAGGGGAATACAATGGACAAAGCTGTCCAGTCAAGGAAAAGTGGGTAAGCCGAGCACAAAGTCAAGAAGGATGGTCTATTAATCGAGCGGCAATGGAAGTGACAGGTCGAAACACTTGAGCAGGCGCTAGATCTAGATAGGCGAACGCAAGGAGAGAATAAAGACAGAGTAGAGGCGCATGTTTTTAGCTGTAGACATTTGAAGTTGCAGTAAACTGGCAAGTGAACGAAACGAATCTTGGGAAGGGCGGGAAGAAGTTGGCTGGGGAGAGTCAGGGAACTCTAAGTGGGGATCTGCGATGACTAACCGTGCCCAAGCAAACATTAAGTGTGGTCAGGTTATGGAGTAGACTCTACGCCACTTCGGCGTCAGTTGGTTCTTGCAAACACAATCAAACAGGCAGTTTCATCTATTGGGAGGCTTTCAAAACAGCCGCTCCATCTCTTATCAACACAGGCGCGAGTGTGCAAGATCGCGTCTTCTCTTTCTCGTACTACAGCAAGTGGTATGTACCCAACTCCTCTGAGGACCTCTTATCAGTTCTATACTCCTAGTCTATCGCCAGAAAACTTACGTCAGTGCCATAGTCTTCACCGCAACGTCCGATAAATAATACCCTGCCATCGCTCCCAACTACGTAATTCGAGATTATTGGGCCCTCCCTTAACTCTTTCACAAAACTGCAGTGAAGCCCTGGCATTTCCCAGAACATCTCTCCAGGTAGCTAGGGTAAGGAAGGTATATCACGATGGCGGATGTGGAGATGAAAGAGGCAACCGCCGGGGCCTCGGCCAAGGGCAAAGGCGTGTCGAAGGGCTCAGAAGTGGCTACAGACAGCAAGAAGAAGTTCGAGGTCAAAAAAGTACGGCTGAATCGATGCATACTTGTCATTTCTGAGAGAAGGTTGGTCTAACGCACAATTGACGCAGTGGAATGCCGTTGCTTTATGGGCCTGGGATATCGTCGTCGACAACTGTGCTATCTGCCGCAATCACATTATGGATTTATGTACGTCTTTCACACCTTTATTTTGTTTGATGGATACTCATCTGCTTCGCCCAGGTATTGAGTGTCAGGCGAATCAAGGTTCATCAACAACTGAGGAGTGCACAGTAGCCTGGGGAATTTGCAACGTAGGTTTCGCTTTAGCGACTGCTTTTCTTCATCTGGGCTAACAAATGTTTTGCATCTCAGCATGCATTCCACTTCCACTGCATATCTCGCTGGCTCAAAACCCGACAAGTTTGTCCGTTGGATAACCGAGACTGGGAATTCCAGAAGTACGGCAGGTAATCAAAGATACGGGGATCTACGCAATTCTCGGTTTGTGATTGCTCCTTTTCATCTCGCATAACCTAGAATACGGACTTTATCGATTGCACTGGGAATTCATTTGACATGGAAAAGGACAGTTCGATGGCGGGGAGCGAACTGGGTTGGATGGCGTTCACAGCTTTTCATCGAACGTTGCTTGGCCAGAGGCTTTGATGCGCACATTCAAACTCATCACGATCGCAAAGATAACATTGGTTTTATATGGTACTCGATTTGTCAGTCAAGGAGATTATTAGGAGATTATGCAACTTTGACACCGTCAACCATGATGCCTGGGCCGCCCTCACTCCCTGTCGTGGGAACAAGCCATTTCTCAGGATGCTTGTTGTACATAGGCCAAGGAGGGATAACAGCCAATGCCGTCACCAATGTACCCGCCAAGCCAGTCCAGAGCGTTAAATGTATATCTTCGTAGATGTATCCGATGAGAAAGGCAGCGACCTTTAGGAATGAGGAGAGCTTGTAAGTGAACGAACACATGTGAACATGGGATGTAAGGAGAGAGCGTTATATTGATCTTGAATCTGTACTTACTCCTGAAATGATTAAAAGAGCTGTAGAAAGCAGCTCGGCGATGCGCTGGCCGTGGAAATCCTAAGTCACCAAGTTGCCAGATCAGCTTCTAACCCAGTGGCTAAACAAGACTAATTAAAGACGAGTGCGTCCAGGAGATAACAAACAATCTGGCCTTCAAAAGCATCCTGTATTGGCGCAAGAATATCATCCATAACGAAGATAATTGCAAGTAACAACTCTTGGCTGGTTGTCCAATACTCAATATCGGTTTTCAGGCTGGGGATGAAGCTCCCAATAACGGTAGTTGTTGATCGCCCGCAAGGCGGAGCGGATCAAGCCTGACCCGCCCTGGGGTTGGCCTGACCGCCTTTGAATAGGCACAGCTAAGGCGGTGACGTCCGAGAGCGATAGATAGGTATAGGGTCAGTCGCATCTCCTCTGCCTTTTCTTTTACATCAAATCACTTGTAGATGCCAAGGCAGAGTACCCAACAATCAATTTCGGGAGTAGAATTTTTCATTTGGGATGAGACCTGAGCTGCGGTAGGTATACCCTCCCGGGCTCGGATATTGGCCAGCCCATGATGCATGTAATGAGTCGAGCGACAAGGGCAGAAAGTTAGCCCAGCTTAGACATCAACAGTCTTGAAAATAATATACATGTCAAACATGGAATATCTCAAACAGAAATGTGCCACCAGTTGTCTAGTAAACTCCTATCTTGCTACTTTTGTCGTAGATATCTTGAATATCGAGGCCTCAATGATGTACTGTGGCGCCGTCTTGGGCAGGCTCCAGTAATTTCCACTGGCAGGAGATTTTGTTGGAAGCAAAATGGGACATAATGCGGTCTGCGATTTCTTCGAATCTGTCGGTGGCTAGAGCCAAAATGGTAGGCCCCGCACCCGATAGACATATTCCAAGCAGGCCCGGCTGGGTAGATGGGTTCATGGACTGAAGAATCTCCGTCAAGCCTGGGATAAGTGTCTTCCGGTATGGCTGATGGACCTTGTCCTGCATGGCCAGATAAATCATATCTGGGTCTGGCGGAGAACTGCCCAGTGCTGCGGGAAGCAATGCAGCACGTTGTAAATTGAAAACCTAGCGAAGACGATGCGAATTAGACCGACGAGAAGCGCATCGCCAACGATTCGTCGTGCGGGTGGTTGAGATGGGTGGGACTTACGACGTCTGCTCTCGTGTACGTGGCAGGTAGGACGTTTCGTGCATTGGCAGTGGGCACCACAAAGTCCGGGATAATCGCGATGGCCTTTATTTCCTTGGCCCATTCGAACTTTCGATAGTGGCCGATGCCCAGAGGAGGCTCGGGGGGCCTCCTGCCAGTATCAATGCCACCTGCAGGGGCAGGGAGAACTTCACTGAGCGGGATTTCCTTGCGAGCTACATCCTCAGGTTTCAGCTCGTTCAAATAGGTACCGACGAAGCCTCCAAAGAGTGAGGCAGCGACATTGTCCGGATGCCTCTCTAAAGAAGAAAGATAACCATCAGTAACAAGGTCAAATATGATATGTCTGATGTGCAACTCAAGCCATATTCAACCCATGTGGGTAGCAAAGCCAGGTTTACCTACCAATCATCAAGCAATAATCCAGTAGCCTGTCCTTGCTCAACCCGAGACGGCCTACTTCATTTCCCAACATCACGCCAGCAACCACCGCTGTGCCTGACGAACCAAGGCCCCGACCCAGAGGAATGGGATTTACAATATGGACTCGGGTCTCAACGGGGAATGCCCTTTGGTCATGGCATCTTAGTACATACAGAGCTACACGGGTGATCAGGTTAACCTCCGGGTCCAGGCTAATCTTCTCAGTACTCTTGCTCTGATCCTCATACGTAATCACACAATTCAAAGGGTGCTCGGACGATGATTTGGAAGAGTCAATGGTGACACGGAGTTCGAGGTGAAGCGACAATGCTAGGCCGATGACATCGAACCCAGGGCCGATATTGGCCGATGAACAGGGCGTTCTGATAATAAAGGAGGAGACAGACATCGCAGTATCAAGGACGTCAAATATGGCCAGATCAACAGTCTGATTGGAAAGGCATGAAAGAAAGACAGAAGTGTGAAAGGCGAAATGATTGGATTAAATGAACGATTTGGCTGGGATCTCTGTAGTAGTAGATACTGAGTAGTAATTATAGTTGAACCTACTTAGGAGTGAAGTAGTGACTCTTTCAGTTCTTGGCACGCACCGCAATAAAAAAGAGGGAAAAAAAAGGCCGACGTCGGGGCTGCGTGGGAGAGCTACTTAGTACCTCTCTACGGTCTACAGTATTATCATCATTGGACTGCAAAAACAAAGCTTGTTAATAGCAAGAAAGCGCTTTATAAGTTTGTTACTTTCTTTCAGTATGAGAGTGCATGGTCATAATTTTTATGACTATAGAGTTGGAATGATGAACTCAAGCTATCAATATTTTCTGGTGAAGTGGTGATTATTATTCATTGTGATGTTATGCATAACGCTGCATGTCATTTTCCCTAGCCCACACCTTACCTATCCTAGACAGTGCCTCTTTGATTTGGATATCAGAAAGGCAGTGACCCTGACTGCTAAGCTAGTGGTTAATGTTTTATTGCTACTGCTAAGGGGATATCTTTCAGATATTCAGCCCTTTGACACAATCATAAGTGGTATTTTGTAGTTATATGAAGGACTTCTCTGTCCCTTACTCTGCACAGTACCTCTCTACATCTCAATAATTATATAAAGTACTTATGATGGCATAGTAAATCTAGCAATTATACTAACTGCAGTTGTAGTACTATAATGAATAAGACGGGCTGCTGCTCGCCATCGTATTAACTTTTTTATCTAACTGGAAGCGTCAAAGATATCTTAAAAATTTTCTATTTCTACTTTTCCAATTGTATCAGTACAACTTAGCTGTGATTCTAGATTTGCCTCCGACTACATGATTTTGGCATAGCCTATCTATGCCACTCTACAGAGAACCTAGTATGGAAAAATCTTCCTAGCGATAGAATTTTCACTCCCGGACGGGAGTATGTCCCTTAAAGGTAGGCGGTTGACAGGTAGTCTTCATACCTACTTACCCTGCAGAGAGGTACATGGCTGTAGGAACGCAGTGACTGCTGCTTATCACCCCCTATGAGTTTTATTCTATTATTACTGTTGTTTACCATTATCATGGGTGAAGGCAATTGGAAGCTCTCGTGTAAAGAAAGCGAATAGACGCTGCTCAATGTTGAATATTCAATACTATTCTTTTTGGCAACTGAACTGTCTAACGGAGTACATCAAGTGGATACCTAAGAAAGGATAAGTTACCACCTTTATGGCTCCATACGCTCAGCTTTTTGCCCCTCTTTTTTTTCTCTCTTTTTTTCCCTTCTTTCCCCCCCCAATTCCTTTCCCTAATTGTATCGGTGACTTTAGTGTGGTTACCCTTCCTTAAAAACCATCGTCCAGTCTTCTGTCTTTCCACCTCGAGTACTACTCATTTCAACCCACCTGGGTGTACACCCTTTCCAACTATTTGTCTTTATAGGATTACAGTATCCTATTTATTTATTGCATTCGTTGGATTCATTGATCCTGTCTCTACGTACAGATCGGTGGTTCAGCCGTTTAGCATCTCTTGTTGGTGTGGATTGAATTTATCGGTTTTTATTCCCTTGGGAAAAGCCCTCCGCATCTCACACCTCTCCTCATCAACTCGTCGCTGGGTTTGAAAATTCTTGCATCGTCGACTCTTTTTGATTTCACATCTATCGCTTTTACTTGATTGCTATTTTTTGTCCCTGGTTGGCTCTCTGTTGACTCTTACGAGCTATATTTCTCTCTTGTTCCGGCGGGATTCTTGCATTAACGTCATAAGAGGATCTGCGGTGTATCTCGACAAACCTCTTTAGAGAGCCTACTTGTCGACACAACACCCCCTATTATCGCAATTCTGGAGCGACAAGGCTCCTATCCTCATTACACAGTCAAGTTGGCGGGGACTCGCTGCAACCGGACCTCTTTCCTCCACCCTCTTTTGGGCCCCAAGTTCAGGGTCTTCTGCGGGGGCGACACCAGACCCCCATAACTATTCCATAGCAAACTTTCAATCTTGGCACAAACAGGTACATCGGTAATGCCAGGCCCTCTAGAGGGGTCTGGCTAATGGATGGAGGAGCACTATTTTCCGGAGCGCCTTCATAGTCTGTCGTCCTTCCTCGCTTGAACGTCAGAATCGAATCAGTCACCCTCACGAAGTTCTCGCACCTGCGCTTTTCCTAACGTCATCGGTCGATCAACTCTTAATAACTGTGCTTGCGACGACGTCGAACCAGCAACAATGTCTGAATCACCGAAGTCCGAGAAGTACATGTGCCTGACTCGATTCAGCACGCCAGTCCCCGAATTAGATGATCATAGATTTCAACTCGATTCTCCACCTCGGATTGAAGCTACCGCTGATATTTCTCTGAGTCGGCAAAACACCGCTCAGCATGCCTATCCTCAAGAGACGCCTCAGCGTCCCGATTTGCTCTCAATTCAAGATGCGCTTCGGGAAGCGGGATCGCTTTCCCGGGATTTCGAGCAGGCTATACTGGATGATGATCGATCAGGCAAAGATGTTAATACGCTGGGCCGTCGTTTCTCCGTTGACCCAACCGGTAATGTCCGCCATGGCCGTACGTGGAGCCGAACCCACCAGGAACTTGCGAATTTGTCACGAGAATCATCTCCATCAGCTAGGTCATCGTCGCCTCCGAATTCGGTCGAAGCTTTCGCAGACCCCCGTCGCCGTGAGCGTGCGAATACACTGGAGAGCCATGCGGCTCCAGATCTTGAGGCCATTCTGCAGCGCACAGTGTCCGGCGGTACTCATCCCCGCCGCCCGACCTTTAGTAACGCAAGTGCCATTAGACCGCAACCAGGCGATATCCAGCTAGAACCAAGTGACGAGACTTGCGTGCCAACTTATGAGCAACCTGGCAGGATCCCGGTGATCGACTACGAGGAATTGGAGGAATTTGTGGCTCTGAGCCGGCAAATGAAGCCCTCGACTACTCGGCGTAAGCAGAGTCTAAGCTCTCAAAGTCGGGGACCTCGCATTTTCTATGATCTGCGCCCAGGGGTTCGGAAGTCTGATCTTGAAGGCGAGAAGCGTTCTTCCAGTGCTGATCGCTCTTCGTCGGACCTCATGGACGCGGATTTCAAGACAGCCGATAAGGTCTATGCCAACGTCGTGGATGAAAAGGACATAGTGGAAAAGCTTCAGAATGAGAACGAGCCGACCCGCTTCGGTTTTTTCTCATCCGAGTCCCAGAGCACTGTGCATGCGGCTGAGCTAGGGGACCTTGTGCTCCCTGGTGATACTTTCAGGGATCTCTTTCAACTTGGCCCGGAGGGAGGTGTGTGGTGGTTGGACGTACTCAATCCAACCGAGGAGGAAGTTGCTGCACTCTCGCGGGCTTTTTCCATCCATCCACTGACTACGGAAGATATCTTGACTCAAGAAGCCCGTGAAAAGGTCGAGCTTTTCAAGCAATATTACTTCGTCTGCTTCAGGACATTCTATCAGCTCGACAAGACAGACGAACGCTTCATGGAGCCCGTCAACTTCTACATGGTTGTTTTCCGCGATGGTGTTCTGTCATTCTCATTCACCGAGAATCCACACGCGGCAAATGTCAGAAAGAGAATTGGGAAGCTCCGTGATTATGTGTCCCTCAGTAGTGATTGGATCTGTTATGCCATGATGTAAGTTGCAAGGGCATGATTCCCCAATGAGACCATCTGTTCTAACGTCGGCACAGTGACGACATCGTTGATAGTTTTGGGCCTGTCATCCGAGAGATTGAGATCGAATCCGAGGCAATTGAGGACCTCGTTTTCATCGCGCGCGTCGACGATTTTGAATCCTTCTTACCACGGATCGGTGGCCTTCGTAAGAAGGTTATGAGCTTGATGCGTCTTCTAGGTGGCAAAGCAGATGTCATTCGTGGTTTCTCCAAGCGTTGCAACGAGCAGTACTCCGTCACCCCGCGTGGGGACATTGGCCTGTACTTAGGTGACATCCAAGATCACGTGGTGACCATGATGTCAAATTTGGCCCACTTCGAGAAGATGCTCAGCCGCTCACATGCCAACTATCTGGCGCAGCTCAATGTCACTAACCTGGTGCTGGGCAATCATGTCAATAAAGTTCTGAGCAAGGTGACGCTGATCGCCACCATGCTGGTCCCGATGAATCTGATCTGTGGTCTGTTCGGAATGAATGTCCGCGTTCCTGGTGAAGGAGAGGACGGCCTGGGATGGTTCTTCGGCATCGTGGGGGTCATTGCTGCTATTATCGTTCTCAGTGGTATAGCTGCTCGGTATTACAAGCTTGTTTAGAGCAGCATGTATAGTTTTTGTTGCTGTTTATGTGTCCTATAACGAAGTATATACGGTTTCCGCTTATAATGCATTGGGCTACCTGTCTTTCCTTGATCTAGTCGTTAATGTCTACTACTGAAATTAAAATTATCATCCGGCTGCGCACGTGGTCTTTGCATGCCAGGAGATGATAGGATCATATGAGAATTAGGATTGAAGAAGTAGAGAAGTGGCTGTGCCGTTTTTGTGGCGCAGATCCCTTCGAAGTTCAACTATCAAACAGCAGTGCCGCTTGTCTACTCCGTAGATCAGAATCTATTGAGACTGAGCTGATTTCTCTTGCTTCGCCAACTCTTGCGACAAACTTCCCCGAAAATATTTTCATAGCATTGCTTCTCGCAGGTGTCCCACCATGAGAGAAAAGCTGTTGCCTTATCTCTGGTTGATTCGATAATTTTCGAGCCTGAGGTGGATATCGTTCTTCGGAGCTCACTCCATTGATGCAACTATCCATGCAGACTGATTCTTCATCTATGCATTACCTTTCAGCTGCATATTTCGGCGCCTTAATATTATACTCCCCTATCTTTCTCGTCAAGCCGTGCCTTGCTCTTGATGCGCCCTCGGATTCCGCCCTTGTGATCTCCAACAACGGC